AAATTCTGAGAAGAATTTTATTATTTTCTAAAAATTTTAATAAAATCCAATAATCAAATATATGTTAATGTAGATTATCCAATTTTTTTTAATTAGAAAAATATTCATTTTTAAACAAAAATTATTTTTTAAATATAGAAAATATATTTTTAAATTAAAAAATATTTATCTTTTAAATGTAAAAAATGTTTTTTTTTATTACGGATGATATATTTATTTGGAGCATTAAGGGGATTTGAACCTTGATGACGTCACAGTTTGTGCAAAGCATTAGTTTTAAATCTGTGACGTCATCATGGTTCAAATGCCCTTAAAAAAATATTTTTTTTTAACATAAGTATTACTTTCAAATTTAAAACAAAGTTTTGAATTAAGCAAATATTTATTTTCAGTATTAAAAAAAATATTTATTTTTAACAAGTATTGCTTTCAAATTTAAAACAAAATTTTAATTAAGCAAATATTTAGGTATTTTGTGTATTAATAAAAATATTTATTTGGAGAAAAACTGCTTTAAAAATGAAAATTTATCTGGATTTAAAATATTCTATGTTAATTTCGGATTAAAATATTTGCAATTTAAACAATAATTGAAATTACTGGTTGTTCTGGAAAACAATTTCCAACTATATAATTATTAGAATCGATGTTAATTTTCCGCTACGATGGATACGATCGATAATAGTCTCCAATGATAATTATCACAATCAATGATAGTCCTCAACTAAAATTGTTACAATTGATGGCAATTTGTAACCATAATTATTACAGTGGATAGCTTCCAACCATGAGTGTAACACTTGATGATGTATTTCAAGTAGCTATAGTTGTAGTTATAGTTACTGTCAACAAAAATTTCTCTTATTTTTAAATTCTAACGAAAATTTTATATTAAAACCATTGGTAATTCTCTAACTAAAATTTTTCGGCAATCTACCATCTTTTAATTAAAAATCTGACTTCTCAAATTAATTAACTGATTAAAATATTTAACAATTAGTAATATTTATTATTTAATCACCACGATTACTATAGTTAATAATAGTAACAATTAATACTAATTATCAACAATAACAATTAGTAGTAATTTTCAACCATAATGGAAATAATTAGTAGAAGTTATCAATTAACAATCATAAGAATTACAATTAATGTAATTTAAAATCTTACCAATAGTAATTATTATTATTCATAATAGGAACAATTAATACTAATTATGAACTATAACAAGAACAATTAGTAGTAATTATCAACCATAACAGGAACAATTAGTAATAATTATCAACCATAATTATTATTAATTGTTCCAATTACAACTGATGACAATTAAAATCTTCAACAATTAGTAGATTATCATCAACTATAACAGGGACAATGAGTAGTAATTACCAACCATAGTTGGAATAATTAATAACAATTATCAATTATCTAATAATTACAATTGATGACAATTAAAATCTTCAACAATTAGTAGATTATCATCAATCTTAACATGAATAATTAATAGCAATTATCAACCATAATGGGAGCAATTAGTAGTAATTATCAACCATAATATGGAATAATTAATAATTAATTAATACCATAATAACACAAAATCTACAATAAAAAAATACCACTTATCAACCACAATAATAATAATAATAATAATAATAATAATCGATGCAAATCTCCAATAATTTAAACCACCAAAATTTCTCAGCACAACAATAAATTTAAAACCCCAGTTAAAAAAAATACAAAACATTAAAGCAATAATGGTGCAAGTTACAACCATTTACATCGCAAGGAAACCAGGAGCATAGAATATTAAAAGGATTCCAGTGCCTCGAGGCAAAAGAAAAAAAAAAGATTAGCAAAATCTTCACGTTCCCCTCATAACAATTTGTCAAACTGTATATTATAAACATGAAAAATATGCCATCATACAACGTGTATATATACATGACGCTCTTAAAATGTTTATTTCACCATAAAGATTGTAATTTTGACTTTATTTTCTATAGTCTCTCATAAATTCGCTTATTCAGCTTCTTGGCGAAAGCTGTTACTAATAGGAACCACCCCTTGGGATTGACCCAGTAATGACCTTACTCAACCTTAACGTTCTCCTCCTTTTCGCTATGTATATATATACTATATAGGTATATAAAGTCGAGTGCATTTCGCTCTTTTGCCTTCACTGATAAACTATATAGACAGCATCGTTTGTTCGATAAACGCGAAATTAGGTCCGATGTTTTTGATTCCCCCCGAGGGCGTTGTCCAAGTCGATTTTACTCTGGTGATGTAGTGCGTTACATATTCACCAAATTCACAAAATTCACCAAATTTATATATAATATATAGTACATATAAAAAAATATATAAACATTAAATATATTATATACAAATGAAAGAATTAAAGAAAAGTAAATTAATAAAAATCATTATTAAAAATTAAGGAAAAAATTTAAAATATAATATTTTGCCAAAATCGCAAAGTGTGGCTTTTTCCCCCCACCAAGTGGGGCAAAAAGAGTCACTTGCAGTGCTTTCGTAAAATTTTTATTGGCTTCCAAAAAATTTCCAACGAGGATTTTGAAGCTAAACTCTCGGTACCAGTTGGAAATTTGAAAAAAATTTTAATTCTGATTTTATAGTGTAAATAGTTAAAAGGGTCTTTTTCACCCCACTTTACTATATAGTAAAAGACAGATAGACGTTATTTTTCCCGCTATTTAGTTAAAAAAAAAAATTTTTTTTAATACAATAAAAAATTCAATAAATTAAAATTAAATTTTTTTCTAATTCAGTAAAATCATCACGAATTACGAGACAATTATGACAAAATTAATGACAATCTAAATTCGTCTGTATCGATTATAAATATCAGACGGTTCACGGTGAACATATTTTAAAAAGAAATTTTGCAAAATGAATATATATTTTTCGAAAATTTTCTTTCAATTTAATTTACTATCTATTTGATAAAAAATACTGTACAGCTGATATTTTTCGTTAAATAAACGAATCAGAATTTTTTAAATATTCCTCGATAATTATAGTTTACTTGTAGTATATAAAATATATTTTTGAATTTATATTTACTTACGAAATGAACTCGACTGGAAACATGTTGTTTATAACTCACCTGAAATAGAAAGAAAAGAAAATACTTTATATTTATCAAAAAACTAAAAAAAAAAAAGAATGAAAACAAATAATTGCTATTTAATAATTCCATTGAATTCCTTCTAATAATCAATATTAGATAATAATTTATAAGTTTATACAAATAATATATATTTATAAATTATAATAATGATAAATTATAATTAAAAAAAAGTAATACAATATTTTCATGATTTTTCAAGTGGCAAATGTGTGTCTGACCAAAGGTTGACTCTTACTACTGAAACTGGTTTTAATAACTAAAATAATAAGATTTAAATAATAATGATGAATAAAAATTGACTATTTTACTGTTTTTATTAATTTTACTATGTTTACTGATTTTCCTACTTTTACTATTTTTACTAATTTTACTATTTTTACGAGTTTTGCTATTTTTCCGATTTTTGATATTTTTAATTTTTATACTCACTACTAAATTTTACTAAATTAACGAGAGATTCAAAATTGTGTTTTAGTAAAGTTTCAGTAAAAAATGACTAAAGATACGAAAAAATTGTTACTAATATTTCTTTACTTTTACTAAATACTAAACGCAATAGAAAGAATATTTACTAATTGTTAGTAAAATATTACCATTTGGTTTAGTAGTTATAATTTTTTTTACTAAAGTTGTAGGGAAAAATTACTAAAAATTCCTACTAATACAAACTAGTCACTGTCAATTTTTACTATTTCAGATTTTTGTTTTACTAAATTTTTTATTGAGAGCAATTTTTTAATTGTTTTTTTATGTAAAAATTCCATAATGTATGAAAATGATTTTTTAATCTTTAGTACAAGAAGTTTTAATTTTTCTTTAGTTTTGGATTTTAAAGCTTAATAAATAATAACTAAACTTTTAGTACCAGTTAGAAATTTAAAAAAAAAATTAATTCCGATTTTATAAATTAAAAAGTTAAAAAGTGTCTTTTTCACCCCGCTCTATATATTACAGAGTAAAGTACAATATATTCATAGGTGCCTCAACAATACTTAATCTTAAAACACAGGGGCCTTGAATTTTATTGACCCCATTCGACTCAAGGCTAATAAGAATTGAAGGTGAGCCATAATATTGATTATTATACCGACAGGTTATCGACATCTTGTCAAATATAATTTTTCCTGTTATTTCCATGTAATCACTGCTGCTTTGCACAAAAAAAAAAAAAAGAAATTTACATTTCTAACATATTCCATTTGCGTTGAAATCTATATATTTGCGCAATGAAAGCTAATGTAAAATTTTAATCAAAGCTTTGTTGTCACAATTTTTTTTTTCTCGTTTTTATATTTATCAGAATAGAAAATTTTTTCTCACTCTATTTATTATGTAGTTTTTAATCTCTTCTTAAGCATGCAAATTATCTGCAAATTATCTTATTAAATAAGAAGAGGGGCAAATTAATTACTCCTTCTTTTAGAAAAGACACAAAAAAAAATAGCTGCACTATTCTGTCGCAATGGTGGTAATTATAAAACAAAAATTGCTGCTTTTTCATTTTTTTCTTTAGAAAAATTCTAAATTTTATAAATTTGTATAAAATTGTAAATTGTATGAAAAATTTTTTTCAGTATTCAATTTTATTATAAATGTTCATTTTAATAAAAAAATATAGCAAATTTGAACTAATTTGAAAGCAAAAAGTTATAAATTAAAATTTTTCTCGATTTAAATTTAGAGATGGAGTAAGTATGATTATTTCAATTAAAAAATACAATATAGATTTACCATTTTCGACTTGGTGATAAAAAGGTCAGAATTTTAAATTCTAAAATAGAACATACGTCTTTATTTTTTTTAGAAAAATATTTGACAAAAATTTGGTGATTTATTTTTACAGGGGCGGTTGGTGGTGAAGGTGGTGGTGATGAAGATGATAAAGAAAAGGAGGAGGAGGCCGAGAGAGAGAGGCAGGAGGCCATCAAGGAGGCTGAGGACAGACGAAAGGAGAAGCACCGCAAAATGGAAGAGGAACGGGAGAAAATGCGACAAGAGATCAGGGACAAGGTCAGAATAACTTTTTTCTTACTCAAACCATTTATTTTTTTTTTCGTATATTGTTTTCGAAAATAAGAGAGAGAGAGAGAAAAAGAGGGAGGAAAAAAAGAGAGAATGAGAAAAAAAGGGCAAAAAGAAGAAAATAGTTAAGAGAAAAGAAGGCGACAAAGACAAAAGAGGGACAAAGATAATTTCCCCCCTACCAAAACTTTTTATTTCTTATACAACATCCAATTTTTATCTTCGTTATTTCACCTACTTTTTCGATATCCATAAAAACTTTCTGCCGCACATGCCAAGTGCTTTTTAATTTCCCCAGTCAATCCTTTAACCAGCTCTGATCAAACACCGTCTCAACTTTTAATTCCGCAATGAGTATTAAATTTTCAAAAAAGAAAAAAAAATCGAGAGCAAAAGAAAACAAAAATTTCAAAAAGAAACAAATTCTCAAAGGGAGAATTTAAATAAACTTTCAAATCTAACTAATGAAAGAAAAATTCATCGAAAATCTTCCAATTATCAAAGAGAAAAATATCTACGATTTGATCCTTGTGAAAAATTCCCAAATCGAATCATTATAAATTAAAAATTTCCTTCTAAGAAAAAAGTTAAAAAGAACTGAAGAATATTTATTTGATAAAGATATCGAGAGTGAAAACAAATTTAAAAAAAACATGTCTCGAAGTAACTCAAAAGTTACCACTCAAAAGTTATGTCTAAAATGTAATTAGAGTCGAATAGCAGAATAAAAAAGAGAGATGTTCGTAAAACTGCTTTTCGATGGACATTAAAAAAAAAAAATAAGACGAGAGATATAGAGAGTTTGGAGTACTTTTGCAATTAGGGGATCGATTAACGATCGACTGTAATGCTAATATAACATTATATGCCTATTTAAAATATATGCCCCTATTTAAAAAAAAATCGTCATGACATCGCATCTTTTCGAAGAAACGTCTCGAGATTCATATCTTTCATGCCAAAAGCTCTTTAGCGACCTCGTAAAAAAGAAAATATTACTATCTTTAAAGACACGTTTATTTTCTTATACCTCTTTTCTTGAAAAAGTCGTTTCATTTTTAACACCTCAAGTACAAAAGGCTTTTTATCACATTTTTCTTAATTTTATTAGACGATAGGCCAAATTTTATGGGCGTACAATTTTTTTTTCTCTTCCTTTTTTTATATCTAATTTCTCATGTATTAACCTCCCTTGTCTTGAGTCAATTTATAACGTCACTCTAGAGACCACTAAATTCGTTTCCCATACTCGGCGCAATAAATTAAACATTATATCTGTAGTGGTGTGAACAATAACAAAAAAAAAAAAAAAAATTCAAAAATAGAACTAAAATTCAAAAAAATAATTCTAAACAAAAGTAGTGAGATAAAAAAAATTATAAGTTGCAATTTTTAACTTAATTTTCTAGCAAAATATTTTTTCTGGTGTTAAAAAAAATAAGAATTTTAATAGGGTGATCCGTGGTCCAGTGGTAAGAGTCTCGACTTGTGAGCATATTAGGGTCGTGCGTTCGATTCCCAGCGGTTGGGGATTTTTCTATCAGGGAAAATGATCATTAATTGTCATAATTACAATTACGATTATTAATTTATACTGGAAATTTAATAAAAATAATAATAATAATAATAATAATAATAATAATAATAATAATAATAATAATAATGTTAATAATAATGTTAATAATTAAATAATAGCAATAGGTAACGTTAATGAATAAAAAAATTCTTTCAAGAAATAGTAATTAAAATTACATTGAAAATAATTTAATTCTTTGCAAGATTTTTATTGAAATTCTTTAAAATAATTGAATTGTTTTGAAGAATTTATTTCAATTTTCTTGAAAATAATGGAGTTTTTTTTTAATAATTTTTACTGAAAATTTTGAAACAAATTAAATTTTATGAAGATTTTCTTTAAGGTTTTGAAAATAATCGTGTTTATTATTAAATATTAATTGTATTTAACAACTTTCCTACTAAATGATATTAAAATTATTCTTAGAAAATTGAATTCTTTTAAACAATTTTATTAGCGTTTTTGTAAATAATTACATTATTTTTAAGAATTTCACTAAATTTTGTAAATATAATGTAATTTTGTAAAATAATTTTAATTGAAATTTACAAAGAATTTTATTCAAAACTTTTGAGAAGAATTGAATTGTTTAGAAAAATTTTATTACAATTTATAAAAATTATTGAACCTGTTAGAGAAATTTTATTAACATTATCTTGAATATATATCATTAAATTTTTTCGTAGAAATTTTATCAAAATTGTATTGAAAATAATTGAATTTCTCAGAAGAATTTTTGTAATTTACAAAAATAATTGAATTCTTGACAAGAATTTTACAATTTATAAAAATAATTAAATTGCTTCGAAGAATTTTATCAGAATTGTTGAAAATAATTGAATTCTTAATAAAACTCTTGAAAATAATTGAATTTGAATAATATTTTAAAAAATAATTGTATTCTTTCGTCAAATTTTATTAAAATTGTATTGAAAATAATTAAATTTTTTTGAAGAATTTTATTATTTATGAAAATATTTTAATCTTGCGAAGAATTGTTTTATTTATAAAAATAATTAAATTCTTGTGAAGGATTTTACAATTCATAAAAATAATTGAATTTATTCGAAGAATTTTATCTGAATTTTTGAAAATAATTAAATTTTTTGAATGAATTTTATTAAAAATTTTGGAAATAATGAATTTTTTGAAAGAATTTCATCAAAATTCTCGAAAATAATTGAATTTATTTTAAAATTCTTTGAAAAGTAATCTAATTTAATTAATATTTTTAAAAATAATTGCATTCTTTCGAGAAATTTTATTAAAATTGTATTGAAAATAATTGAATTGCTCCAAAAAATATTATTGTTCATGAGAATAATGAAATTCTTGCGACAAATTTTATTAAAAATTTTAAATAATAATAAGCAAGAATATTTAATATTAATTACTTAATAGATTATTTCTTTAAATTCGAGGTCAAAAATACGTTGAGAACGAAAGAGAAAAATTCAAAACAGAACAGAAAAATAAATAAACAATTGAATACTAAATAACAATGAAAAAAATAATGACAGAGATAATAATTCGCAATATTAATTGAAAATAAAGTAAAAAATTAGTATTCCCATTCGATAAATATCAATTTTATTATAAAAACGATATGAAATTTTTTAAATTTATTTATTATTCTATAAAATCGTTTATAATCAATAAAAGTCGAGATTAAAGATTGTACGTAAAGAGAGGAATGAGCAAAAATTGAAATAAAACGCTAAAAATGAATAAACAATTGAATAGTAAATAAAAAAAGGAAAATAAAGAGACGACGCGTGAAAAAGTTATGAACTTTCCTTTATTAGTCATTTTAAATACATCACCGATGAAATCGCAGGAGTGCTTATTAAACATTTAATCTTTTTTTATGACATTTTCTGCATAATATTCTGTATAAGTGTTAATACGTTTGAAGAATGCCATTATGTAGTCACGAAACCTCGATGCAAAATAGTTCATATAAATAAAAAATTGTAGGATATTTTTTTCTCCCCGTACAGAAATTACCCATTCTCATGCGATCTTTGTAATTTTTATTTAATTCATACCTGCCTGTTGTTCAATATTTTTCTATATATAATCCATAATTTTGCAGGATAAAAATTCATATTCATTAATATTAAATTCAAGTACTTTATTAAATTCATAAATTACCTCTTTAATTGAGATTATTACTTTCTTTTCTATTATAATTGTTTAAGTGTTAAAAAGTCGATTAAATTGATATTTATGGCTACATGGAAAAAAAAGTATCAAAACGCAATTTTGAATTAAAACGATTGAAGTAATTTTTTTTTTGAAAAAAGTCTCAAAATTTTTCTTTCTAAAATTCTGAAAATTTATACTTTCAAAAAGCGTTTAAATAAAATAATTTAGGAACGTATAAAGGAAGATTATCGATAATGTTGGGTTAAGGACGTGATCGTGAATATATGCTGAATATTATTATATATAGAAACGAAGATAGTGTCATTATGACGTACTGTCTCATTTTACAGGATAGTGGGAACGATAATCTTAATGGAGACCAATGATAACTTCAAAACGACCTTCCAATCACTAATAGTACCTATTCCAACTAGTCATGTATGTACGACCACAATGTCGACCAAATGATGCTTGTAATTTACGATCAATTCCCTTTAGGCGAACAAGGAAGCTTTCCTGGAGAATTCGAAATTCCAATTGTAAACTTTCCTGAACTTGAATAAAAGTCGCATTAGCGAAACCTAAGGGAAACAAGTATCAATCTTTCAAGTTCAAATAACTTTCGCACAAGAACCCTTTTTTCACTATTTTATTTATTTATTTACATGTTTATCTCTGCCACTAAACATGTGAAAGAAGTTTTTTTTATTCTTTTTAAAATTAATTAACACAAAATTAAATAAATTTGGAATTTTATAAAATTTTAATGTTGAATGAATTTAATTTTTAATTAGAAATTTTAATGAACTTAGATTTTTGAAAAATTTAAATAATTCTAAATCTTCTAAAATTAGTTAAATTTGTCAAAATATATATTAAAATAATTATTAAAAATAATGGATTTATAGAAGAATTTTAGTTAAAAACACTAAAAAAAATTGAATTTTCAAGAAGTTACAAATGATTGCAGAAATTCAATTATTTTCAAAAGTAATAAAATTCTTATCACAAAATTCAATTATGTTCAAAATTTACAAAAAAAATCTCGACAAAATCCCAATTATTATCTTTATAAATAAAAAAATTCTTCTTCAAAAGTTCAAAATTCAATTATTTTCTAAAATTTTAATAAAATTCTTGTCAAAATTTCAATTATCTTCAAAAATTTTCCTCATTTCAATGATTTTCAATATCTAGTTTTTTAATAAAATAAACCAAAAGAATTCAATTATTTAAAAACAATTTTAATAAAATTGTACGCAGA